ATTAGTTCTGTAATTAATTTTGTTAGCTTTTTATACATAACAGAGCTTTTGCACATATAAGAGAAAGAAAGCTTTTGGCTTATCACTGTTATAAAGCTTAGTACTCTATAGCGTAATAAGCTTTTAAAACATTAATTGATAAAGAGTGCTTAATAAGCTTTTTAAATGATTTTATATATATATATATATATATATATATATATATATATATATATATATATATATATATATATATATATATATATATATATATATATATATATATATATATATATATATATATATATATATGTGAGCTTACGTTTATATGAAAGCCAGAAAGCTTTTGCGTTTCTCTTTGTTTAAAACTTAGAGAGTGTTATTTTTCTTTACTACTCATTTGCTTAGTGGTTGTTTGTTGGAGTAAGTTACAATTAAGATATTCAAGCTTAAATTAAAGCTTTTTGAGGGGTTTCTTTTATAAAAACTGCGGGAAAACTTAAATTTTTAAAGAAATATAATGAAAATATATTAAGAGGTTTTGTTTTAAGTTATTTTTGTTGGAATTTTCTTAAAACATTTACATTTAATCTATTTTTGTTAAATTTGTTATATTTGTTATTTTCTTAACAAAAACTCTTAATGACTGCTGCCATTTTATCTAATATCTAAGACATTTATGTTTTCCTAACATATTTCCTTTTTTATATTATTTTTATTTAACAAATAAAACCAAATAAACTGCCTTACAAAATATATACATTTTCTGGCTAAAAGCTTAAGGGGAAAAAGAAAATTCTGGAAAAAAATCCCTCTTTGATGATATATTTTAACTAAAAATGAAATTGTCTGCATTTGTTTTTGACAGGCTTAAATATGTATTTTCTTTTATTACATATACACACACATACAAAAACTTATGTTTTTTTTGGGAACAAATAACAAAAACAGCCTTTAAGGCCTCACACCAGCCTCTTAGTAAAGAACCCCCAACTTGCCAACTTGTAATTTGGCTGATTTTTCCCTTATGCCACCCATATAAAACCACCCTTTTTAGTTCAATTTATATCTCTCTTTCTCTTTTTTTGGTTTTTTTGAAATAACGCTTTTTAGTGTTTTGTTGTTAAAACTTTAATATGTTTATTATGCAAAATATTATAAAATATTTTCATATTTTGTTTTTTTTTTTTTTTTAACAAAAAAAATCCTTTAAAAACCATTTTACAGGATTTTTGTGTTAAATATAATGCGAATATTATGTAAAAGTGTTGGAGAAAAAAAGAGCATAATGCGTAATATTATAAGCCTAACATTTTTGGGGGGTTTTTGCGTTGTTGTTAGGGCGTTTAAATAAGTTATAAGGAAATGTTTTAAAAAAAGGGGAGGGAGAGCTTTCAATGGGTGTGTTAATATATAAAGCTTTGGCGTTTTTTTATAGAGCATTTATTCAAAACAATTTAAATGATTTGTTTAAGTCTTTTAAAATGTTTTGATTATATTTTCTGGCTTTTTTTTACACTATTACTTTAGCTATAAAATAAAATTTTAAATCAAGAATGTTAAGAGAGAGGGAGGAAGGGAGAGAGATTGTTAGAAAAAATGGCTGTTATTGACAGTTTTTTAAATGGAAGAAAAATGTTAGGATTTAAGGGAAATAAGAAGTTATTTCAAGGAATTTTTTTATAAAAAAAGTTTTCCAAATGTTAAAGTGTTTGTTAAAGAAATTTTATATAATTTTCTTTAAAATTTTTATTTTAATTTGTTTTTAATTTATAGTTTTTTTTCTGTTGTTTCGCTTTTTTTAAATAATTTGTAAATATATCATTTTAAAGTGTTTGTTTTTGTATTTCAAACAATGACATGTCAAATGTCATTTCAAGTTAAACTCATAAATTATTTGTATTTCTTTCTTTCATACCCATTCTTTACAAAATTTTCAAAAAAAACTCCATTGTCTGGCTTTTTTGTCAGTCAGACAGACAGACAGTTGTGTGTAGATAACTTGACTTTAAGTTAAATGGCGTTAAAAATTAATTTGCCAAGGGCTGTTGTAAAATAAATTGTAATTAATTATGTATAAGACAACAACAAAAAAAACTTCTCAAAATGTTAAACTAGAGAGTAAAAACATTTTTTTTTTTTCAAAATAATTAAATTCAATAAATGTTAATTTTAATTTTATTTTATTAAAATTTTTCTTTTACTGTTTTTTTAAGGCTTATTTGGCGCTTTTTTCTTTATTACTTTACTTTTTTGTTGTTTAAATAATGTCATTATATAAAATACACCAACAAATACTTAATAATCCGCTTTAAAACTGTTAAAATGTCATAAAAAACATATATACAAATAAACTACAATAAGTGTGAACAAAGCATACACATACAATACGTGTAAACAAAGCAAAAGAGAGAAAAAAATCATGAAATTTTAATCCCCAAGTGTTGAAAAAATACTATTAAGCTGTTATTAAAGCTTTTTTTTATTTATTAAATCAATAAATATATAAACAAATAAACAAAAATCTATAACATTTTATAAACTTTAAAGAAAAATTTTAATTTGAAACAAAATTTTTTCAATTTTCTTAAAATTTTCATAAAAATTTTTATTAAAATCCCTTTTCATTCCCACATAACTATTAAATTTATAGTTTTCTGATTAATAATATTCCTAGAATTTTGTCGCTTACTTTTTAACAAGATTTTAGGAAAAATTCTTGCTTTTTTCATAACAAAATTTCCAACACCTTTTTTTTCTACTATTATTACACTAAATTATTAGTTTTAGACAATTTTTAAGCCATAAATTATAAACTAGTTTTATTTCTATGTGTATAGATACTAAAATAATCCTTAAAACCTTTGACCTTTTTACAGGTGTTATAACACATTTTATACGCTGCTCTCTTTTCTCTCTGGGCTTAAACAAAAGATTCTGTCTATTGTTTTTAATAAGATCTCTTTGACTTTTATATAATTTATGACCTTTTTATAGTTTTTTATAGTTCATTCTTTGTTTTAATTTAACAATGCAATCGTAAACATTTCAAATTTTTAGTTTATTGTTTAATCATTTAAATGGTGTATAAATACTCTCCTTTTTTTCTTATTATTGTCTAAAAAAATAACTAGTTTTTTTAGTTAATAGAAAGAAAAAACATAAATATTGTCATTTAATGGATTAAAAACAATTTAAGAAAAGCCTTTTATAACAATTTAGTCCATTTCCATTTATATTAATAATTTTCTTAAAATTCTTCTCAGTGTATTCAATTTACTATTGATTACTTTTTTATTGTTTTCTGTATTCACTTTTTGTTCTCACTCTCTGTCGTTTTCATTTCCATTTTCGTTAAAAGTACAAAATTAACTCTTTTACACTTACGTACTCGTGAAAGAAAGAGTACAGGAGAGCTTATTGCATAAAGATGCTAAAGTGTCTGTTTCTAACATCTTCTTGCTCTAAATTGCTTGCTTAAGTAAAGCTTCTCTCATTTACGTTGCTGTCTGATACAAAACTCTTTTCTCTCTTGAAACGTACTCGTGTAAGAAAGAGTACAGCAAAGCTCATTGCATTTCGCTGCTAACTTCTTCTTTCTCTAACTGCTTGTTTAAGTAAAGCTTTTAAAAGCTTAGAGTCGCTCTCATTTCTCTTGCTGACTGAAACTAACTCCTTCTCTCTCTCTAACTGCTTGCTTGAGTAAAGCTTTCCTCTTTGTTGGCTTAAGTAAAGCTTTTTCAAGTTTAAGCTCGCTTTCATTACCATTAACATTGCTGTACAAGAGAACTCATTGCATTTCTCTGCTAAAGTGTCTGTTTTTAACTTCTTGTTTCTCTAAATTGCTTGCTTAAGTAAAGCTTTTATAAGCTTAGAGTCGCTCTCATATCTCTTGCAGACAAATTCGAACGTTTTCTCTCTCTAACTGCAGGCTTGAGTACAGCTTTCCTCTTTGTTTAGCTTTTTGTATATAAAACCTGATTCTAACTCTTTCTACCTCTAGCAGTTTGCTTAGGTAAAGCTTTTTCAAGCTTAGTCCCATTCTCAAGTTACTATTGCTGTTTTTGCCTACAGAATCGGGTTTTAAGTCCTCTCTCTACTTGTTTGCTTGAGTAAAGCTTTTATAACTTATAAACGCTGTCATTTCTATTGACTCCTTATTAATGCTGTTTATATTTTTGCTTATAACTCTTTCTCTCTCACTATCAGTGTGGTTGTATAAGGCTATTTTAAAGCCATTTTATAAAGTCTACTTCTTATTCTCTCTATCTTGTCTCCATTAACTCATTTTGCATACTCTTATTGCAAACTCTAACTCTTTCTCTCTCTTTGTCAGTGTGCTTGAGTAAAGCTTTCTCAAAATGGTGCTCTCATTTATATTCTATAAAGTTTTATTCAAACTCCTTCTTATTCCCTCTCTCTTTACTTCATTTCCCTTAACTCTTTTTTGCTTGAAGGGTCAGTTTCAAACTCTAAATCATTCTCTATCTTTATCAGTTGCTAAAGCTTTTTTTAAAGCTTTTCCAAGTATAAAGTTGGAGTTCAATACCTTCTTATTCCCTTTTTCATTTCCTCATTTCCATTGATTCTTTTTTGCATATGGAGTAACTTTCAAACTCTTTCTTTAAAGCTTTAACTTAAGCTTTTTTTAACACTTTTAACTTTTCATTTAAAATTTTGTATAAAAAAATAGATTTTTACCATAAAACTGTTTCATTAAAGACTTTTTAAGGTATTTTTTTCCTTAGAAACTTTTTAAACTTCATTTTTTACCTGTTAGTATATGACAAAAGAGGCGCCATTGTGTTTTTGGCATCATTAATCATGTTTTCACTTGAATTTGCCTTAAATTTGAACAAAACAGTAATAAAAACTAAAGCAAATTTATTTAAGAAAAGACCAAAGCAATTATTTACTTAAAAATTTAACAAATTTTAAAAACAAAATTTATAAATTTTTTATTTAAAATGATATTTTTTCAAAACTAATTTATCTAATTTTGTTATCTTTGTTTTTTTTAGGTGAGAAACCTTTCAAATGTGAACATGAAGGCTGTGATCGTCGTTTTGCCAATTCGTCAGATCGTAAGAAACATTCGCATGTTCATACCTCGGATAAACCTTATAATTGTCGTATTAATGGCTGTGATAAATCCTATACTCATCCCTCATCATTGCGTAAACATATGAAGGTAAGTTGTTTAAAGTATTTTAAAAATTAGAAAAAATTTTCAAAAAAGCCGACGGCTTTATATAAAAAAAATGTCGTTATAATATTATTAATTTTGATACTATTTTCTATTTTCTTTTTGTCTGCTTTAGGTTCATGGCAATCTTGATGAAAAATCACCTTCTCATGGTTACGACAGCGAGGGCGAAGAGTCCTCTTCATCGAGTATTGTTACCGGTGGTGCTCAAACTCCACCCTCAGCCCGTTTAACCAGTGATAACTCTTCGGCCAATGGCAGTTTGAATAAATCCTCTCCCCATTCGATTAAGTCCGAACCGACGGCTAACTCTAGCATGCATAGTGTACATTTGGGAGCCTCTTCCAGTGGCAGCAGTAGTACGGCCAGTAGTGGTCATCATACCCAACAGCATAATGTCACCAGCCATCATAATCAACAGCAACAACAACAGCAGCAGCAACAGCAACAATCCTTAAGCTCTGGTTTGCACAATCATCATCAACATCATCAGCATCAGCATACCACACATCAACAGAATTCCGCCAAATCGCCTGCTTTACAATTAATGGCCTCCTCCGCCTATTTGCCACCACCCTTGGGACCTCCACCTTCACTAACAGCTGCTGGCTCTCATCATCATACGCATCATCATCATCAGGGTATGACAGCAGCAGCCGCCGCTGCCGCTTCTTCAGCCAGTGCTACAAATCCAGCTTCTATGTTGGTAACTGGACATCATCATCCCAATCATCATTTGTTGTATCATCCTGCCGCCCAACATCATGCTCCCACAGATTGGTATCATACCGCCGCCCCTGCCGCTGGGGCAGATGCCATGAATCCTTTAAATCATTTTGGTCATCATCATCACCATCATCATTTAATGCATCCCGGAGCTGCTACAGCTTATTAAATATAGCTTAGGCCAATTTATTGTTGAATTACTATTAATCATTTTTTTTTCTAGGAAAATTAAAATTTTCAAAAAAAGCTCTAGATTTATAAAAAAAATTCATATTAACTATTGTGTGCTTAAATGTTATCACATTTCTCTTTAGATTTATAACACTCTCTCTCTCTCTCTCTCTACTATCCCCTTAGTGTCTCAGAGATACTTTCTTTCATTTGACCACTCCCCCATTCTCTTCTGCCCCCTTTCACTTACTCCACTGCTTTGTTTTTCCATAACAAAAGTACCGTTTCCTATTAAGTTTAATTGTAAATTAAAGCCAAATATTTCCTTAAAAAAATATTATTAAAAAAAATCCTTGAAAAAAAATCTCAAAAAAAAATATAAAAAATTAATTATTAATTAAATTCATAAATTATGAGCAAAAACCTTAATTAAATACCTGAAAATAAAATTTAAAAAATAATTCATAATTTTTAAAATTAAATTTTTTTCTTTGTATATATACCCCTTAAAATATAAATCCCCAAAACTCCTTATGCCCTCATTATTTTGTAATATAATTTCATTTAATTTTTTTTAAATCTTTATAAATTTTAGTTCATTTTTTTAGTTATTAAAATAAATACTTATAACCTAAACAAAAATTGCTATATTTTTATTGTTTATAATCTTAAAAATAAACACAAAACTGCTTATTAGTACAAAACTTAAAAGAAAAAAATTAAAGAAAATTTAACAAAAAAATATTTGTAGTTTTTGAAAAAAAAAAAAATATTATGTAAATTATAATGAAAAATAAATATATATACGTAAAGTCTCGGCCTTAGTTTTTAAAGTTAAAAATTAAAACAAAAATGATGCTGTTTTCTCACCCTCCCCTAAACATCATCATCATCTTTATAAAAAAATAAAATAAAAAACCACAAAAATACGCAATAAAATTTAAAAAAAAAGTTTAAAGAAATATATTTAACAATCATTAAACAACATAAAAAATAATAAAAATGCATTTTTATTTCGTTTGTCATTAAAAGACTTATTTTTCAGCTAGTTGTAGAGTACCCTACACTATGGTGAAAAGTTAGTGGTTAGACTCCACTTTATGCCTAATAGTGGAAGTTCGCTTTGTCGTTTTAGCTTGCGATAGCCAAGCTCTGTATTTTGTGTTGACTATGACTATTTCCTTTTGAACGGTAGTTTCATGACTTAATAGTCTAGTCTATAGTCTAAACTATAGTCTAGTCTATAGTATAGTCTATAGTCTAGTCTATAGTCTAGTCTATAGTCTAGTCTATAGTCTAGTCTATAGTCTAGTCTATAGTCTAGTCTATAGTCTAGTCTATAGTCTAGTCTATAGTCTAGTCTATAGTCTAGTCTATAGTCTAGTCTATAGTCTAGTCTATAGTCTAGTCTATAGTCCAGTCTATAGTCTAGTCTATAGTCTAGTCTATAGTCTAGTCTATAGTCTAGTCTATAGTCTAGTCTATAGTCTAGTCTATAGTCTAGTCTAGTCTATAGTCTAGTCTATAGTTTAGTCTATAGTTTAGTCTATAGTCTAGTCTTTAGTCTAGTCTATAGTCTAGTCTATAGTCTAGTCTATAGTCTAGTCTATACTCTAGTCTATAGTCTAGTCTATAGTATAGTCTAGTCTATAGTCTAGTCTATAGTATAGTCTATAGTATAGTCTAGTCTATAGTCTAGTCTGTAGTCTAATCTATAGTCTATAGTATAGTCTAGTCTATAGTCTATAAGTCTAGTCTAGTCTATAGTATAGTCTATAGTATAGTCTATAGTCTATATTATAGTCTAGTCTAGTCTATAGTCCTAGTCTATAGTCTAGTCTATAGTCTAGTCTATAGTCTAGTCTATAGTCTAGTCTATAGTCTAGTCTATAGTCTAGTCTATAGTCTAGTCTATAGTCTAGTCTATAGTCTAGTCTATAGTCTAGTCTATAGTCTAGTCTATAGTCTAGTCTATAGTCTAGTCTATAGTCTAGTCTATAGTCTAGTCTATAGTCTAGTCTATAGTCTAGTCTATAGTCTAGTCTATAGTCTAGTCTATAGTCTAGTCTATTAGTCTAGTCTATAGTCTAGTCTATAGTCTAGTAATAGTCTAGTCTATAGTCTAGTCTATAGTCTAGTCTATAGTCTAGTCTATAGTCTAGTCTATAGTATAGTCTATAGTATAGTCTATAGTTAGTCTAGTCTATAGTTAGTCTAGTCTAGTCTATAGTTAGTCTATAGTCTAGTCTATAGTCTATAGTCTATAGTCTAGCTATAGTCTAGTCTATAGTCTAGTATAGTCTAGTCTATAGTCTAGTCTATAGTCTAGTCTATAGTCTAGTATATGTCTAGTCTAGTCTAGTCTATAGTCTAGTCTATAGTCTAGTCTATAGTCTAGTCTATAGTCTAGTCTATAGTCTAGTCTATAGTCTAGTCTATAGTCTAGTCTATAGTCTAGTCTATAGTCTAGTCTATAGTCTAGTCTATAGTCTAGTCTATAGTCTAGTCTATAGTCTAGTCTATAGTATAGTCTATAGTATAGTATAGTCTATAGTCTAGTCTATAGTCTAGTCTATAGTCTAGTCTATAGTCTAGTCTATAGTCTAGTCTATAGTCTAGTCTATAGTCTAGTCTATAGTCTAGTCTATAGTCTAGTCTATAGTCTAGTCTATGGTCTAGTCTATAGTCTAGTCTATAGTCTAGTCTATAGTCTAGTCTATAGTCTAGTCTATAGTCTAGTCTATAGTCTAGTCTAGTCTAGTCTATAGTCTAGTCTATAGTCTAGTCTATAGTCTAGTCTATAGTCTAGTCTATAGTCTAGTCTATAGTCTAGTCTATAGTCTAGTCTATAGTCTAGTCTATAGTCTAGTCTATAGTCTAGTCTATAGTCTAGTCTATAGTCTAGTCTATAGTCTAGTCTATAGTCTAGTCTATAGTCTAGTCTATAGTCTAGTCTATAGTCTAGTCTATAGTCTAGTCTATAGTCTAGTCTATAGTCTAGTCTATAGTCTAGTCTATAGTCTAGTCTATAGTCGTCTAGTCTAGTCTATAGTCTAGTCTATAGTCTAGTCTATAGTCTAGTCTATAGTCTAGTCTATAGTCTAGTCTATAGTCTAGTATAGTCTAGTCTATAGTCTAGTCTATAGTCTAGTCTATAGTCTAGTCTATAGTCTAGTCTATAGTCTAGTCTATAGTCTAGTCTATAGTCTAGTCTATAGTCTAGTCTATAGTCTAGTCTATAGTCTAGTCTATAGTCTAGTCTATAGTCTAGTCTATAGTCTAGTCTATAGTCTAGTCTATAGTCTAGTCTATAGTCTAGTCTATAGTCTAGTCTATAGTCTAGTCTATAGTCTAGTCTATAGTCTAGTCTATAGTCTAGTCTATAGTCTAGTCTATAGTCTAGTCTATAGTCTAGTCTATAGTCTAGTCTATAGTCTAGTCTATAGTCTAGTCTATAGTCTAGTCTATAGTCTAGTCTATAGTCTAGTCTATAGTCTAGTCTATAGTCTAGTCTATAGTCTAGTCTATAGTCTAGTCTATAGTCTAGTCTATAGTCTAGTCTATAGTCTAGTCTATAGTCTAGTCTATATTCTAGTCTATAGTCTAGTCTATAGTCTAGTCCATAGTCTAGTCTATAGTCTAGTCTATAGTCTAGTCTATAGTCTAGTCTATAGTCTAGTCTATAGTCTAGTCTATAGTCTAGTCTATAGTCTAGTCTATAGTCTAGTCTATAGTCTAGCCTAAAGTCTAGTCTATTGTCTAGTCTATAGTCTAGTCATAGCTAAACTACGTATTACTAAAAGCAGGCTTTATGGTGCAACTTCAAAGGAAGTTAAAGATCCAATATGTAGAAAGCGTGAGCTTCTAGATCAGCATGGGCGTGATATTGATATGGTTGGCATCTCACCGATGTACTTTCCCCTTGCCTGGGATGTTGATAAGCTGAGACTGACAAAAAAAGGAGATTTTCCAGTGCTCTTAAAGTCCAATTTTCATCGGCTTTCAGGAGCAAAGAGAAGGATGTTGAAACAACCAATAGAGAGCGACAGCTTCTAGGTCAGCATAGACGTGATATTGATAAGGTTGGTATCTCATCAATAATGCTTTCCCCCTCCATGGAACGTTGCTAAGGTTGGACTGGCAAGGAAGCGAGATCTTCCGGTCTTCATAAAAGGATAGGAAAGTAATATGGATAATGTGCGCATATTGGAAATTCTTGGAAGTCAAAATGCCGAGCTGGCAGTGGAAAAATGAGATATCTTTCACAGGAAAGCAGAACCTGAGGGAACTCTATTTGTAATAGGCATCGATCAGAATAACTCCACACCTAGTCTCGACAATAAAGTTGAAATAATCTATCTGTGATTTCAGTTCTTTGATTCTTTACACATCATATAGCAGATAGATTGTTGACATTACCGATCTCACACATAGGGCATTATATAAGCCGCCGTATTTGCCTAAATTTGTTTTGAAAAATTTTCATATTAAATTTATTTTCGTCACGGTTGTAAATCTTAATGTTGCATTTTTAATTCATTACTAATTGATGCTGTTGATTTTTATTGGGTTAACGTTATTTTTTTTCCATTTAAAATTTATTTAATTTTAGCTTTTTATTAATATTGAAATTAGCTGTTTTAATGAGTTTGTTAACATATTGGATAAAATAAAACAACAACAAAAACAATAGCTTAGATTAAAATCAGTTTATAAATCAAATAATAGTGTTGCGAGCTAAATTTTATTTAATGCAAAATATTCGAAACAAATTTGTTTTTAATTCAAATTTAATTGAATACAACAAACAGTAGGTGAACTCATTTAAACTAAATACAAGCTGCTGGAATTAAAAAAAAAAATTATAATAATTAAAAATTTCATTTTAGTGTTAAAATAAAATGATTTAAAAACACTTTATTATTAATCATTTAGGAAGGTATTTGGGTATTGTGCGAATTTCAAACGACACACTAACTAAAAAACGCTGCCGCTTGCATTTAGTTTATAATGGCATTGCGTAAAATTCAAGTTTTTTTTTCTATTTTATTTTGTTTATAAATAATTTAGTTAATTTTTCACTATAAGCACTCAACAATAATTATTTGCCATTTATAAACGTCACTTTAATAATAAATGAATCAGTTTTAGAATTTTCATTTCATTATTTTATTAATTTATTATTGTTGTTTTGTTAAACAAAGGAATTATTTATGATTTAAAAATACTTCTACTAAATTATGTTGAAAATATTTAAATATTTATTTCTGTTTATAACTTATAAAAGAAAAACACTTTATATATCAAAGAGCCAAACAATAAACTATAGAATTATTTAATTAATTTATATGTGAGAAAAAGAAAAAACGAAAAGTTAACTAAATAATAAACCGAAAGCTAAATTGATAATATGTAGTATCTTTGAAAAATTTTAATTAAATAGTAAATAAATCGAAAAACATTAATTGTTAAATGAAATCCGCTACACGGAAAAATACAAAGAAAAAAAATTAAATTTTAATGAATTTGCAAATT